CGAGGAAAGTCGCCAAACGGGGCGCAGCCACTCAGCCGGGAGCACTGGAGCTGGCTCAGCAACCGGCGAGACCCAATGTGGCAACTGGGGCAATGGCACCACGGGCAGTTTTGGGAATGCACCGCCTCGTCGGGGAGGGGGTGGGAAGTGGGGAAACTGAGGCACGAGAACCCCCACACCCCATTGGCACCCACCAACCCAGAGCTTCCTCTTCCCTGTTTTGTGGGGTGGGCAGTCGCACCTGCGGGAGGGTGCTGGGCGCAGCGACGGGTGCCACGACCACCTGTGGCTTAATCCTGCACCAGCGGAGGGCAGCATGGCAAAGAAGGTGGCCATCATCGGAGGAGGCAGCAGTGGGCTCTGCGCCATCAAAGCCTGCCTGCAAGAGGGGCTGGAGCCCGTCTGCTTCGAGAGGACCAGGGACATTGGAGGGCTCTGGAGATTTGAGGTAATCCCTGCCAGCCGCACATCCTGCTGGTGGTCAGCACTGTGATGCCTCCACAGGTTAACACACCAGGTGGGATTGCACGAGCATGGTGCTACCCCACCCATCTTGGTGGTCTGCCCGTGGTGGCTCTTGCTGTGCCGTCAGTGCCTGGCCAACATGCCCTGCTGGCATGTGCCACCGCCGCCAGCTCACCTCTCCCACTGGAGACAGGAGCCCCAAGCTGCCGGCCACATGCCTGCTGGGCTCTCTGTCTCCCCGGCAAGGCTCAAGAGCACGGTGCTAGTGGAAGCCTTCTCCTCTGGGGGCCAGGGAAAAATGCCTGGAGGGCTTTCAGCTGAGGAGACCTCTTTGGCTGGGGAACAGGCTGGGGAACACCAGCAGCAGGAGCTCCCCGAGGAGGGCCGCGCCAGCATCTACCGCTCCGTCATCATCAACACCTCCAAGGAGATGATGTGCTTCAGCGACTTCCCCATCCCCGAGGATTTCCCCAACTACATGCACAACTCCAAGATCATGGAGTACTTCCGCATGTACGCCCGGCGCTTCCCCCAGCGCCTGGCATCGGACAGGAACCACAGGAAGATTTTGGGATGGGAGCATGGAGGTCTCCAGTCCAAGCCCCGCTCCAAGCTGGGCCAGCCCCAAAGCCAGAGCAGGATGCTCAGGGCCACACTGACCATCTCCCAGGCTGGAGATGCCACCACCTCTCTGGGCACCATCCCAGGGCTGCATCGCTCCCCTTGGTCACACTGGTCCCAGCCTGTTCCCAAAACACACCACCAGTCCGAGCAGGGGGGCAGCCACTCCCTGCCCCACGTCCCTGCCCGGCACGGCTTCCCTCTCTTTTCCAGGGCCTGTAAAGCTTCAGCCATGGGAACTCCTCTTCTCCCTGCTGCTCTTCCTCCCGCCCTCAGCCCTTCCCAGCCTTGCTTTAGCTTGGGAGCACTCCTCCGCTGCTCGGGAGGGGTCTGGCAGGGCCAGGGAGGGACCCTCTTCAGTTTTTGGGGAGGTGACCCTCCGGACCAGCACCAGGAAGCCAAGCATCCCTCCTCCCTGTCCGCAGGCATCGACAAGTTCAAGGGCCGCTACCTCCACAGCCGAGACTACAAGGATGCCCAGGATTTCACGGACAAGAGGGTTGTTGTCATCGGGATTGGGAATTCAGGGTCGGACCTAGCCGTGGAGATCAGCCACACAGCCAAGCAAGTGAGCAGCCGGAGCAGGGTCCTGGTGGGCAGGGCAGCTCCCCGTGGGACACTGCCGGCTCCACGAGGACACCAGGGCCAAGGGGCTGGCACAGCCACCACTCCGTCCCGGCACTCGCTGCATTCAGCAGTGCCGGCACCCAGCAATCCCAGCTGCCAGGCAGCAGTGGCAGCCGGGACTCCATCCCACACCGATACCTCAGTTTCCATCCCCGAGCCCGGGGTGGCCCCTGTGGCTCTTCCCTACCTCTCCCTGCCAGGTGCCCACTCCTGGCTCTCTCTGCCCTCCGGGTCTTCTCCCAGCACCTGGGCAGTGTGAAGAGGAGTGATTCCGCAGCAAGGGCATTCCCCCCCGACCCCAGGGCAGCCCCCCAGAACTGTCACAGCCTTCAGGAGGCGATGCTTCCTTCCTCACCCAGGTCTTCCTCAGCACACGCCGGGGCGCGTGGGTCCTCAACCGCGTTGGAGATCGGGGCTACCCCTTTGATGTCGTCCTCACTACCCGCATGAAGACGTTCCTGCAGAAGATGGTGACCACGTCCATGGTGAATGCCTTTGTAGAGAAGCAGCTGAACGCCAGGTTTGACCACTCGCACTACGGCCTGAAGCCAAAGCACAGGTGCCAGCAAACACTTCCCCAGCCCTGCTTGGCCATTTCCATGCTGAGGCTCCAGCCCTGGAAACCCAGTTAATACCTGTAGTGTGCCCAGGCAATGTTCACGGGAGCCACCACTGCCCCATCTGGGGATCCTTGGTGGCACCGGTGCAGTGGCAGCTGCTGAGCATCCCTAGGGAACCAGCCCTACTGGGGCTGAGCATCCCTGGGGCTGAGCATCCCTGGAGCTGAGCATCCCTGGGGACAAGCATCCCCAGAGCAGGGAGCGGTGGCCGCAGCAGGACATGGAGCAGAGACACCACACCCCAGCATCCTGATGGCTCCTTGTACCTTCCAGGGCCCTTGACCAGCACCCGACCATCAACGACGACCTGCCCAACCGCATCATTTCGGGACGGGTGCTGGTGAAGCCGAACGTCCAGGAGTTCACGGAGACGTCTGCCATCTTTGAGGACGGCACCAGGGAAGACATAGACGCCGTGGTCTTCGCCACGGGATACAGCTTCTCCTTCCCCTTCCTTGAGGGCTGCGCCAAGGTGGTGGAGAACCAGATCCCCCTCTACAAATTCATGTTCCTTCCCGACCTGGAGAAGCCGACGCTGGCTTTCATCGGCCTCATCCAGCCCCTGGGTGCCATCATGCCCATCTCCGAGCTCCAGTGTCGCTGGGCCACCCGCGTCTTCAAGGGTAAGCGAGGCA